CTAGGGTAGCGTTTACAGCATGTGCAAAAATCACTACGGTAGTGGTTATGGCATGAAAGCTTACGCCAAAACCACTACGGTAGTCTTTATTGCACGGTTGTGTTCTGAGCGTGTTACACCGGCAGACTCCGACCTTCCATTGCAGAATTACAACTTACAAGCCACACTGTTCCCACTTGTGGCCTGTATCCAGGAGACAAAGTTCGCCCCGGCTTCAACTATAGACTTAAGAGGATTTGCTGCGTTATATTCACACGGAGAACCAGATTGCTTCCGGTGGAACCACGATCTACACCGACAACAACACACTTCAGAGACAAGTACATCTTAGGACGACCCTCCAGGCTATTGCTGTAAGGGTCACCCTGCACAGACCGATCACGACCTGCTCTGTTTACATACCACCAAATAACTCAACTAAACAATTTAAAGCTCCAGCTCCCAAAACCCTTTGTCCGATCCAGGCTTGACTACGACTATGAGTGTCAGGTCTATGGATCGGCAAAACCCCACGTCCTGAGAATGCTAGAACCAGTACCAAACCAAGGACTCCACCTCGCCCTGGGGGCTTTCCGCACTTCTCCAATGGAAAGCCTCCAGGCCGAGGCAAACATACAATTTTACTCTCACTCAGACGCACACAACGTTCACTACAAGTACAATACGTAATTAAACGAAACCCAACTCCAGAGAACCAAGCACACAACTGTATTTTCAGAACAAACCTAGACACCATAAATACATTTTAAAACGACGAAGAACTCACCAAACCCTTCGGCCTCAGAGTCTTTGAGGACCTTAAAAACATGCACTTTTCCAAACAAGACATCCAGCAATTTCTTTTCCTCACTTTTCCAAACAAGACATCCAGCAATTTCTTTTCCTCGAACTTCCTCCGTGGCACCTCACCAATGCAAAAATAGACTTTTTTTCGCGCGCTCATATGACCCTATGCAGTTGCGAGCGCCATAAAACTCTTAGGCCCCGCGTCCACTGCGCTTTTTCGTCACTTGCAGGCCAAGCTCACATGCAAATGAGCTTGTTTTTGTCAGTCACTGACTGCCTTTGCCTGACTACGCGATTTGCCTGACTACGCGATTTTCCTGCATGCACGCTTTTTCGTCAGTCGTACAGGGGACTAAGAAAGCCTCGATTCAACTAATTTTTGAAGGAAATTTGCATCTTTAAGTACATTTTTGCTTCTTCATTGTACTTTACATAATCAATAAAGTTGTATCTCATTATAATATATTGTACAATAGCAGATCTGTGCTGAATAACAGCAAAAAAACTGAAATTAAAGCACTTGACCTAGATCTAGATCATTATTTCGTTCTCGGGAGAGCTAAAAATAGGCCATGTTAGGCCTAGCTAGGGACGTGTCTAGATCTAGATCTAGATAGATCTACGCTCTCTAATGTTTAGTGCTTACAATTTTCCGCCAAAATTTAGTTTTCTTCAGACATTATCTGCCGGTCCACTAGATTTAGGCCTAGATCTAGATTCTAGATCTACATTTCGACATATTGTGTCGCTTTGCCTTTCCTGAAACAGTGCTGTATAATAATATGAAGCTTAATTTACCCTTTCCTAATGAAAGTTCTGATGGTCGAGCGAACAGCATGTCTGCGTTTGGAGGCAAACATTATTTCGTCTGTGCTGTGTGTGTTCGAATCCCAATCCCACCTTTTTTTTTTCTTCTCATCGTCCCAGCTTACCCAAAATTTTTCCCATAATTATAATTTGTTGCTTTTTAGTTTTTTAAAGTGGAAATTTAAAAAATAAATCACCTGTACTGTCTGTTGTTCTCGTAATCATAACACTGTGGGCTAAAAATAGGTTTAGCTGGTCTGACATCGGTGGACGCGGATCTTTTTGAGTCGGCTCTACACCATGAAAAAACCTCGTACATTAGCATGGCCTGAAAGTGATCTTATTTTGGTGGACGCGTAGGCTTACCGAAACAAGACAAAAACAAGAAACCCGGATCTAATCTTCACAGATGACTCTAAACCTCGTGGGCGCGCTATCCTATCCTCAAACAGTACACACCAGAGGAGACTCCATCCCGAAGCCTCCATTTTCTTCTGCTGAGGCCACTGCCATTGACATGGCACTGGACTCCGTAGAAAATTCTCCTAACCAATCGTTCCTTATCCTATCTGACTCTCTGTCTTGCATCACCTCATTTACAAACTACACGCTCTCACAACCAAAAATAGTTAGGTTACAACAAATAATACACGCTTTGGCCGAAACTGGGAAAAGCATCGTGTTCGCATAGCTACCTAGCCATGTGGGCATCCGAGGAAACGAGCAAGTGGACTTCCTGGCGAAAGAATCCTTGTCCCTTCTGTTGGGATCAACGACGAACACTCTCCCACAGACTGACTTTAAAAATAAAGTAAAAAACTACGCCTCCAGCCAGTGGGAGACTCATTGGAAAAAAAACAAGAAAACAATAAACTACTCCTCATTAAACCCAAACTGGGTCCGCGAAAACCTTCGGGCCTCTTCAGAAGAGACGAAGTCATTTTTACTCGATATGCATCGGACACACGTCCCTGACACATAAATGCCTCCTTCAGATGCGACACAGATTTTACCTTTCGACACAATTTAACAGAATGTCGAGACATCGAAGAGATCCGAAGGAAATATTTTAGATACAAAAAATTGCAAGATCTGTTTTCCGTCGTTGATCCCAACAGAATCCTTGAGGATTATTTTCGAAGGTCATCGGCCTTTATGGAACATTGTAATTAGCATTAAAATTTTTAATGTTATTTAAAAAGTTATTTTAAGTTAATAATTTTCTTTCACCAATTTTTAGCGCTTCAATAGAGGTGTAGACCAGAATCAGGCTGCGCGGCGAACTGTTGCGAACGGAGCCAACTTTTTTTTGGCGCGCTCATATGACCTTATGCAGTTGCGAGCACTGTAAAACTCTTACTAAAACAAAACAAACAAGATCTAGACTTGGTCTGCTTGGGACAGCATCAGTGGTATGGTACAGTGGAGTCCACTTATAACGAGCCCTGAAATAACAAAGTCTGTTATAAAGACACTATTCTAAATCCGCGTTTTTCCCCCCTTCTTTACGTCGTAGCTTTGAAAATAAAATAGTGCTATAGCGCAGTCAGACAAGCACGTGGGTCGGTTATAGCGGAATATTGCTGCTGCTGTGCGCAGCTCATAGGCCAATGATACATAATATCATGTAAAACCTCGACAGTTGAGATACTTGTTGGTGATCTAGCGAAACCAAGAATGGGAGAGCCCACGTGTGCCTACAATGAAGGCTGGAATGGATGAGTGGGGAGGGTGTGGAATGCGCAAACAAGCAGAACGCATCGCGGGATAGGCCAGCCATGTTAGGCCTAGTCTAGATTATCTTGGCCTACCTTGCCTCTCACTTCTCCGATGCGGGGATGGAGAGGTCACAGTGCTGTGATGGATGGAGCGAATGTGTGACGTCGTGGTGTGTACCCATGTGCGCAAGCAGACGGAACGTACCACAGGGTGTGGTGGGGTAGGGGACAACACAGCGGGCGAATTAACCTCGAGCCCTTTCTTTCTGATCACCAACGCCGAGCTGTCAACATCGCTAGGGCAAGAGAAAGTGGACCTGATTCGATTTTTGATCAAGTAGGGACCTAAGACATAGAGGTCATGTTGAACAAAACCATCTTCAGGGGAGATAAGAAAAATAATAAACAGAACACCAAACTCATAGATTAGGCCTACTTTTATTATTTCCATTGAATTTATTACTGGATCCCTTATAACGAGAATCCTGCTATAACTGATATTTCGCACCAGTCCCTTCCCTCTCGTGATAACAGGGTTTCACTGTATCAATTTGGTGCTATGTTTCTACAGACTACTTTAAATCAGCTCGTTAACATTGTCATTAGAATTTTTTGTGGAAGGGGACCGTGTTCTCAAGAGCTCTACACGTGTGTTTGGTTGTGCGTTGTTTTATAAAAAGAGGGAGGGGGGCAAAGATACAAGTGTATACAAATGTGTCTCAGTGTATGTATGTGTGAGGGAGGGCGGCCCTGGGGGGGAGGGGGGGGGGCATCAAGGGAGTTGGAGCTTGAAGTAGGGTCGGAGTGGGAGGAGATCAAATGAATGATAGCCGGTCAGTTTCATAAACCGCGAGACGCCACTGAAACTGAAAGCACCGATGTCAAAATCCCAAGTCTGCAAAATGTTTAAGTAACTATGAGTACAAAATTCTTTTTGGCAAAGCTGAAGAGACATTCTAATTCATGTTAAGTTTTGACCCAATTGTCCAAGTGTGTCTATCTTCTTTGACATTATTATAATATAACATAAAATTCATACAGTGGAACTCAGATTCAACAAAAGAAGACGTGGATTGTGGATTCAACAAACACATAAATTAGTGAAATCTGATTCAAGGAAGTCGCTTGTAGGGTGAATAGTCCCCACTGGTGTGGCTTCGCTTGTTTTTCCCCTGCAGCCCGCAAAGAAGTTGATCTATAAGACGTGACGTGTCTTAGTGTGTGCCAGGGTCAATAGAGGTCGGGAGCATGGATGTTAATTGTGTTAGTGCATGTGTTTGGGGTTCCCTGGGTAGGCATGAGCGTTTCGTTCGGGCGTGGAAAATCGGCAGAGATAACGACGCGTCACAAACATTATAACCCCCCCCCCCTTCCCCCCAGGTTACTGGACAATAAAAAAAACCCTGCGGAGACATATGTTACGGTATGCTAATGCTAGGCCATACATTGTGGCGCAGCTTGTCGCTCACATTGCTACCGAACAATCGGATGAAACGAAATCGATGGTCAGGCCTGACAGCTTCGTTTTCCGAATTTTACTGTAGTGAAATTCGTACACAACGAAAAGATTTCCATGTCCCGCTGACTTTGCTATGTGGGTGATAGGCTGCACTTAATACTGTTAATTATGGTTTGTGCATTTTTTTGGTATAATTGTCTCTTGATTCTGTTTATGTGCTACTTTCACAGGAGAAAAGTCTTGTAATGGCCAGTTTGTCATCAGCTTTGGTCGTTTGTTTGAAGCCTATACCAGGATCTCCAATAAATTAGTCGGGATGCTGATGAGAGCAAGAAAACAAGGATTGGTGCACTTTGAAGGAGAAATGTTATTTCAGCGCAGAGATGACGATGTAGTGATCACCTGCTTTAAAGTTCCTGATAATTAATACATGATGTAATAACTTTGGAGCTGGTAGACTCACTGAATAGGATCTGATTAATGTGTAGTTTCTTATGACCCGATGAGTTGAAGTAATTATTTGTAAAATTATAGATGGTGTCAATTTACGTTGTTTGCAATATGTACCTACCTTACTTGAACAACATTTGGATAAAGTTAAAAATGTGAGTCTGTCCTGTCCATTCATACAAAAAGGTACAGTGGAACTCGGATTCAACGAGCTCAGGTCCAACGAGAACTCAGATTCAACGAGATGAGATAGATTCCACGGGGTTTTTTTTTCTTCTTTAAAATCAATAAAATTAACCCAGATTCAACAGGGTCGCTTCCAGGGTGAACAGCCCCCGCGGACGTGGCTTCGCTCATTTTTTTCCCAGAACGAACTTAAACTATTCCCGGAAACCATCCATTGCACCTGCATCGTGAACCATTATTCACTAGCGGTCCGGGCGTTGAACGTCGCAGATACAAACGTGTCACAGTTTTTTCCCCTCGGAAATTGATCATTATTACTATGATAAGCTAGTCTTGACTTAGATCTACGTAATGAATTATGCGCTGGTCTATGGAATCAAAAGTTGCCGTATGCTAGGCTCTACACAGCAACACAACTTTTTGGTAAACAATCGAGATAACACAGGCAGGTGCATTTGAACGAATCGGTCTTTTTTTTTTACACAGCTCATAACATACAGGCATTTCAGGTACTACTTGTGACTTCTCTTTGTACATTACTTACCCAGTGCCTGTAATTATCTACACTAAACCTTGTGTTTGATATTATAACGAACACTCGGATTCAACGAGATTTTAGGTCAGGGTCGGCAACCTCGTTGAATCCGACGAGTTCCACTGTATCTGATTCTTTGGGGAAAAAAAACCCCTTGAACATGTCCCTTGCTTTAAAAGATATATGTACTGATGGGAGAAGAAGGCATCATTTAAAAGAAAAAGGAAGACAAATTGTAAGGTGTGCTGCCAAACTCATGGAATTAGCAGAAAAATAAAGTACATGTAATGTGTTTTGTACCTTGTAAGTGAAACCCATAAATAAATAATGTTTGGACTTCAACGGTTCTTACGGCCCTTTATTATCCACATAGGTCTTGGAAACTTTTCTCACAAGTCTACTCACTACAAAAATAATACATCAACACTTATTCTCTCTCTCTCTCTCTCTCTCTCTCTCTCTCTCTCTCTCTCTCTCTCTCTCAACACACAACACATAGGCCTAGCCCGAGTCTCAGAATTTAACAATGTTAACATAGAGGCGAAAAATATTTTGACAATGTTCCCCATTCTTATTCACACTTACTTATAAATTAGGCTACTCTTTTCCTGTACCGTCAGGTACACAAAGCAGAGAGCAGTCGGCGCCACTCTTGTCTGTCCCCAGCAACTTCCTCTCTAGATCTATAAATTGTATATATTGTAATGGCAGCGTTATATACATATCGTGTGCAAAAATAGGCCTAGCTTGTTCACTTTCGTCTGACCGCGTTAAAAAAATTCTAGCTCATTGGGGAATTTACCAACGCCCACGTAACTTAGCATGGCACTTCTGCAGGCTAACGTCACTAACGACCAAAAAAGAAAATTAAAATTAAAATTTCATCTTGACCCAGTAGGATCTAATAATAAAAAAGTGTTGTTTTGTTTGTCTTTGGGCCCTATATAATAAAAACCGCTCTTTGGATACATACGGATCTCTAAAATGAATGACATAGGCCTACGGTGGACTTGCCTACAAATCGCTCATTTAGAGACAGCGGCACTACCCTGTCCCCTCTGAGCTTGTCGATTTCTTCATCCCCCGGCTGTCCAGTCGTCTCCCCGTGCTCCACGCCCTAGTCTCGAAAATACATTACTCACCCCGTCTCTTGAATTGAATCGTGTTTCTTTGGCGAACGTTAAAGGGTGGTGTTGAGGAAAACACATAAACTTTTACTTTTAGGTGTTGATCTATACAGTAAATCCCCTATTATTTTTTTGACCCGCTTTAGGCTTAGATCTACAACAAAGAAAACGTGTCGGAACCTAAGTTTGCTGTGACTTTTTAGGAATGAGCTTTTAAATTCTGTTCGTCGCTTAACCTTTGGACCCGAATACAATGTCAAAGACCCAGAAAGATTACAGAGCGATTTGTTTTTATCCCGTTTTAACTGCGGTTAGACGAAAGTGAACGAGCTTTTTTGCTTTTTAAAAATCTTTGACTTTGATACATCCAGGCCCTGCGTGATTACGTCATCCCTGATTGTACTCTTTTAATGTATGGCTCTTTTCGTCTGTGCAAACTTTAGCTTTAAGATGGTTCTTCCTATGTTTGAAGCGCAGATTCTGTCGCAGTGCTTGCATGTCAGTGACGTGGATCGAAGCTCTGTATTTCCGCTGTTTTCCTTTTGTCGTTGGCGCTTCTCAGCCTGGCTGTTTCTAAGGCTGCTCTCTAGCATTATAGTTCTTTCCTTTATCATTTTCCTTCATGTGTTCCTGTCCTCAGCTATTTTTTCCCAGATGCTAACATCTACTCCAAGCTTAGCTAAGCTGTTTTTACAGGTGTCTTTGTACCTCAGTTTTGGTCTTCCTCTTGGTCTCTTTCCCTGGGTAAGTTCTCCATAGAAGTTGCTTCGGAATCCGGTTGTCTTTCATTCTCTTGACATGGCCCAGCCATCTCAATCTTTTTAAACACAAGATAGTTGTCATGCCCTGGAGGTTTGCCCGTGCCAACACTTCAACATTAATTTTTTGTAACCTTGTCACGCCACGAAATGCCTATGATCTTGCGGCAGCATCTGAGTTGGAAAATTTCGAGGCGCCTTTCTTGCCTGCAGTACAAGGTCCATGTTTCAGATCCATGAGTGTACTGAGGACACATGCTTCGTAAATCTTTATCTTTGTTTTGATGGTTAATCTTTTGTTTTCCCATGCTCGTTTTGTCAGCCTTCCAAATGTTGTTGCTGCTTTCCCTATCTTGCTGTTGATCTTTTAATCAAGTGATGTAGTTGAGCTGATGGTAGATCCCGGGTAACAGAGCTTGTCCACTTTCTCAAGTTCCTTGTCGTTCAGCCATATATGGCTCTGCTTTGCACCGTCTTGGGTAAGGATGACTGTTTACTTAACACTGATGACCAAGCTAAAGACCTTGCATGCTGTTGATAGGCGGTCCGTCATTGTTTGTTGGGTTGATTCACTATGAGCTACAAGAGCAGCAGCATCGGCGAAGAGAAGGTCTCGTACTGTTGTTTTGTTGATCTTGGTAGTGGCCTTTAGTCGAGCAAGATTGAAGAGCGACCCATCAGTTCTCCAGTGGAGGAAGACATCCACTTGTGACTCTTTGAATGCGTGTTGCAGTAAGACTGCAAAATAAGTGCTAAAAAGGGTTGGTGCTAAGACACAACCTTGCTTTACTCCGATATTGATGTTGAAGCTGTTTGATGTTGAACCGTCAAACTGAATGGTGGCCTTCATATCTTCGTGGAATGAGATGATCAGCTGTAGCAGTATTGGAGGACAGCCAATTTTTCTAAGAACCATGTACAATCCTGATCTAAAGACTCTATCAAAAGCCTTTGTCAAATCGACGAACGCAGTATGTAAAGGCAGTTGTTGCTCCCTTCATTTTTCTTGTAGCTGACGAAGAGAAAAGATCATGTCCATTGTTGAGCGGTTTGTTCTGAAACCGCATTGGCTCTCTTTTAATAGAACTTTTATGGCAGTCTACATAATTTGATAAGTAGGCACCAAACCAGAGTACATGTAGTCCTACAATGGATTCCTGCCCACACTGGGATACCGGGAAATGAAAGAGCTGATGCTCTAGCTAAGAAAGGAGCTAGCCTCTAGTGCTGAGACATTGTTGCTGCGATACGTGATTCTTTTTCAAGGAATCGATTCGATATCGATTCCGATACCGATACCTAGTAGGCCAACTTGTACTTGATCGCTAAAAAAAAATGTCTGTACCAATACACACACCAGGCACGCAAAATCAACACTTTAATCGCAGGATAGGGCATATAGATCTAGGTAGGGGCAACAAAAGAACAATCCAAAGAACAACATTTTTTTTAAACCAAAACAAATCGAAGCAAAAGTGATTAAAATAACTGAACAGTTTAATCAAATAATAAATAGCAAATGGCAACTCGTAAATCTCCTGTTAGGGACTGAAACAAAATGTGATTTAAACTCATGATTTTAGAGATAGATTAGAGGCCTAATGAAAACGAAAATTATGTTAATGTTAAAAAAGAGAGGTACAGAACAAATCTGAACTTAACGTGATACATAAAACTTACGATTATTTTTACACATTATATCACATTAATCAGAAACATGCATAAACTGTCAGATCATAACGTAAGTGTGATTTTATTTCGAGACCCCAGTCTTCGTATTCACATGTAAAGGGTATAATGAGAGAGCGAGCTTACTGAGCATGTTATGGAGCGTTTTTTCAAAACTTTGTTCAAGAAAAGCAGATAATTGACATTTTGGGGTTTCAGGCAACTGCATTTGTGGGAAATCAGTTCCCCAGCGGTTGAACATAATCTTTCTGACGGTACAGATGTTGCCGGCACTGCCAGATGTCGACGAGCAAGTTTGTGTAACTGTGGATAGCTTGCTGCCCTTTGGCTCCACCAGAGAAGCGGGTCCTCTTTTCTTCTCAGGATGGGTTCCTTCAGATACATGTACAGTGGAAACCTGATATAACAGGGATGATGGGATTAGAGAAAATGTCCTGTTATATCCGATCCCTGTTAAATCAGAAATGCAAGGAAAGTAAGCATTTGTTGACTAATCCAGCTGTACTTATTCATGGGTAGTTGCCCTTGACACTAGTACCCACGAACAGGGGTTTTAGAACCAACTTTCTCCTTGCCTCCTTTAAACCATGTCAGAAGAGCTCGGTCCAGAGATTCTGCATGGGATAGTCTCATCTTCTTTCGATCCTGAGCAAACTTTCCATTGGAGTATGCTGCCACTATCTTCTCTCTATCCTTGATAATGGTGTGAATCGACCCTCGTGGAATGTCGAACTGACGACAAATCTCTGCCAGTGTAGCTTGCTTTTTGTCAACAGCCTGGATTATTTCGTATTTTTTTGTCAATTGAAAGGCATTTTCTCTTGCGCTTAACATTGTTGGTGACACATTAC